GTGCTTAAACATAACTGGATTTGCTTCTGGAATAGTCCCAGAACAGTGAAGTAACAAATGGTCTCATCTTCACGAGCAGATTGTCAGATTCTTTAAGCTAAAGAACGCTGGCTGCAGACTGAATTCCAGCACGAGAACCTAGTCAGTGTACGTAACTAGGAAACTTTTTGCTATGAGTGTCTTATGCTTTCCCTAGACATTCTGTAGAACAAGAACAACTTGCCCTCCCTTGTCAGAAATAAGCTTTTATCAGTACTGTTAATCACCCTGCTTTGTTTTACATAAGTAAAAATCCTGAGCTTTCTCTAGTAGTGGCTCGGGCTATAAAGGGTATTTGGGTGCAAAAAGCTCCAGGTGGCTTGGGAAAAGGAGCATATTGTGCCTTCAGAGTAAAAAAAAAAAAATTCTGGTGGATAAATGGTTGTGCCTGGATAGTCTTCGAAATAGCTACATGTAGCGTGAAACAAGCCTGATTGGGGTTTGGCAACCCGGCAGGTATGAGGCTTAACGTTTGAAGGTAAGAAGGAGAATGAGGTGGGAGGGAAACATTAATCTATTTTTTCCAGTATGGCGAAATGAAAATCTGGGGTAATAGTTTCCCCAGGGATGCAGCAGTTGAGGGCTGAGGGAGGCGCAGGCAAAGAATTGCTGAACAATACTTGCCCTTGGACCTGCGCTAGCTCTGGTTGGTGGCTTGAATCCCAAAGACTTCGTATTCCTGTTGTAAATATGACCAGTTACTTCTTTTCCATGAAGTAGTGTGGCCTTTCTTGTTTCCCCTGTTTGCTTGATACTTCAATTTGCTCTTAAATCTTGCAAATTCATGATACTGCTGGAGAAAATGTGAGTTCATGCCATGTGTAGACTAGACTGCTGGAGTCGAAGTACTGTTTGGATGTTGTGTTAAGTAAATCCTCTTTTTATATATACAGGTACAACAGAATAGCTCGGGAATGGACTCAGAAGTATGCGATGTAATTAAAGAAATTATTGGATAACCTCTACAAATAAAGATAGGGGAACTCTGAAAGAGAAAGTCCTTTTGATTTCCATTTGACTGCTTTCTATGAGCCCACGCCTCATCTTCCCCTGTGCACATGTTTACCTGATACAGCAGTGCTGCGTGTTGTACATACTTGGAACAACAAAATAGAAATACTGTATTTCCCCGTACCAACATTGACTCCTAGCAGAGAAGTGTGTGTGTGAAAAGCTGGTTCTTCAGTCATAACTTTGTGAGCCTAAAAGCATTCCCCAATTTAAATTGGGTAATACAATGCAAAGGGAAGAGTTATGGTGGATATCATTTCTAGGGACGGTGTTGCTGATCTGGGAAGGCTTTTAAGTGGAATCCTTTTAAACTCATAACAGTTATGAAAAGCAAGGTGAAGAACTTGAAGCTGTTCTGTATTCATTTTATTCTGAAGGACCTACACCTTAGGTAAATGTTATGACCAATGAGATAAACTGTACCCACATCCTGTGTTTAAGGTCGAAGTTTAACCGGTCAACATTTAAATGGATTGGAGCTATTAGTGCATCAAGTGATGTTGATTTGTTTCAACTCTCTCCCCTCCTTCATACTTTTTTTTTTGGTTTGTATGTGGTTTCTCAGTTAATTCATAGCTAATAGCTCTTATTTTTCTTAAGTTTTTTAACTGCTTAGGTCTTTCTGGATGTAAGGGTAAAAATCCATTTGACAGAAAACTTGTGTATATTTAAAGACCCAACTGCTCCCCTGGAGCTTGTACGTTCAAGAATGATTAATCTGTGTAATAAACTGATTACTACAGTCATTACATATAACTTTGTGTGAATAGGCTTTTAATTTTAAGAGCAGTTTGTTACAGGCTAAAACTAATGGTGGATTTCTCTGAAAACCTTTGCATTCACAAACGGTTGCGTTTGGAAGTCATGAAGCAGTTTGGTTTGCGTCACACAAGGCCACGTGCCTGAACAGGACAAACATCAGCTTTTAAGCACTTAAGGTGAAATTGGGCTGTGTAGTGTGCCAGGAAACTTGACTGTTAAACCAAATAAGCAGTTTACTAAATGAGAATCTGAGTGACATTTTCCAACGCTTAATGGTATTATTCCCACTTGCATGGGACCTAACACAATGCATATGTACTGTAGGTAAGTGAAACCTTATGTAACTAAAATAATGGATGTAAAAGGGTAAAAAAAAAAAACCTACCAAACACATCAGCACAAACTTTCATAAAATGTAGCTTTTACATAATTACTTTGCACTAAACATTTGCAAATGTTCATACCGTTTTAAATTGTACTTATATGTGTCTTTTTTTTTTTTGGAACAAAGTCTTCACTTGAATCTAGTGGAAAAAAAAATGTAGTTTGAAACTTTTTTTTTCTTTGTATACAAGTGTATTTGCCAGCATCGTTGGTGTGAAATAGGTGAGTCTGCAAGTTTTATCTCCTCTTAGTAGAATTGTAAACAAAGCCATTGACTATGAAGGAGAGGCTGTAGCCTCCAGCTCTCCAGCCACAGGGTTCTGTCCCATCCATTTTCAACTGCATCTTTACACTCTTGCACAAATGAGGAATAAATGTCCACTGCTTTTGGTCTAAATCTGTTCCGCTTGTCTCATCTCTTGGTGTCCTTGTGTACGCACCTCCTGGATGTCAATGTTAGTGGTGTTTTGTGGAGGTCTCTTCCAGTGAGCTGTAGGTGAACATGGGATATGTGTGTGTCTCCAGCAGGTGGGAAGATTGCCGCTCTAGCAGTGCCACGCTGCTGCATGGGGACGAAGGAAACGGAGCACGTGGCTGTGTTTTCTGGTCCAGTGACAATGTAGGGGTGATAGCTACAGGGGAGGGGGAGAAACACGCTGTGCAGGCGTGTGAACCTGAGTAGTGGGTCATCTTCAAACTCTCGGCGCTCATGTTATGCCACAAGGTGTTGGTGTGTACTCGTTTAGAAAGTGGTGTGTGGCCTTAGCTAAAAACTCATTGCATTGTCAAAATGAGAGCGTGAGCTAGTGCCTGCTGGTGTACCTTGGTCTTGTGTTACCCCGTAACCGTGCCTGGCCTTGCTGTGTTCTTGGCTGCTCCAGCAGGTCACTGAGGCTCCTGCTGGACCCTCTGTGACTGAGGGGGAGATGGTGCCTCAGCTGGGGTGGAGGTGTCCTCCCGTGGTTCTGCAGCGGGGTCAGCAGGTACTCCTTGTCTGAGATGTGCAGGGAGGGTGGGTTAGGGTGATGGCAAACCTCACAGCGTGGGGGTTGCTTTTTTTCAGGGGGGATTCCCCTTAGCTGCTTTAAGTGAGCCACCAGAGAATGGGGGGTGTGGGTCGGGGGTTTTGGTGGTTTTTTTTAGTGGTTTTTTTTTTATATTATTTTTTGTGGCAGAGTTGGCTGGGTTTTGGCATTAGCAGTTGATGTAGGAGATCGGAGGCCTCTATGAGAGAGAGCGAAGGGAGCAGGAGCGAGTGTGGAAGTTGAGGATGATGGTTTCCCTTTCTGGTGGGACAGAAGTCACCTACACTAGGTGACAAGAAGGTAACACAGCTGTACATGAATCAAAATCGAGTCCTGAATGTTACAACAACTTCAGCCTGGATAATGCATTAACATCTCTGCCTGTGGTGGGATGGTTGTCTCGGACTGGCGGTGAAGTGCTTCAACAGATCGAACTTCTTGCTGGTGGTGTGACAGACATTGTGGTATCGTAAAAGCGAGTGATCTTCAAGTCGGGAGCGCATGTGCTGTCCTGTGTGGGGTGACCCATTTCTCATAGTTGTACTGTGAACTAGGTGAAGGAGTCTTTTTTTTTTCTTTCTTTTTTCCTCTCTAGGATTTAACTTAAGACCTGATCCGTCTTAGCATTTTTTAGGACTAGAAACTTGCTCTTTTGAAACTGTGTTGTGTATATTCTAATACGAAATGGCCTGAGAAGCCAGGGGCTCTGCTCGCTGCCTTTCTAGGAACTCTGAGTTTGTCATGTCAGTAACTTAGTCCCTGTCCAATTTTTTTTTCTAAACTTGATTTAGTATTTTAAGTGAACTTCTTCACTTTGCATGGCTTTCTTTGCACTGGGACATGTGTGGATGTAGATTGTACATGCAATTTCCCGTTTTTCCTGTCATGTGCTAAGCAAATCTGGTTTACTAAAAAAGAAAAAAAAAAAACCAAAACAACCAAACAAAACCAAATAAAATGCTGGGCTGCTTAGATTCCTCCAGCTCTGGCAGTGCTGTAAAGCTGAAACGCTGTCCCTGGGTATGTATGTTACTGGTGTTTGTCAGCGCCTGTCCACTGCAATGGAGTGAACCAGAGGGCAAATGACCCCAAGTTCAGTGAGGCGGAATGGCCACTGCCCCCCTTGAGCGGCCAGTGTTATTTGACAGTACGCATCCCTGCTGTAGTGCGTATTGCCTGGAAATTGGGATTTTGGGGCTGTTTGTGCACATGTGCTGTGCTCACATACGAGGGAGTGCAGTCCAGTATATTTGAGAAACTTGTCTGGCTCTGTATGGAGTGACCGCCCGTTGGGATGCGGGAATTACCAGTTAGGGCGAACGTTACCGGGGCTCAGAGCCTGATGTCCTGTGGACAGGGATGGAGCTGATCCTGGGTGGTACTGGAGACCTGGTTGCTGTGCTTGAAGTACTCTACCTTTTCCTTTGGTAGTGTGTTTCTTTGATAGCTTTTTGGCAATGCAATAGTGATTTTTTTTTTTTTTTTTTTGTGTAGCAGTGCTTTCAAGTAAGCTGCATCCTGAAGGGTCTACAGACTTTTTTCTGTTCAGCCTGCACACATAAAATATTGTACAAAACCCCTGTGGGACTAAGTTGGAGATGATCCTGTGTTCCTGGTGTGCTCAGTAAAACAAACTGTACCCTCTCCCTTGCCACTGAAGGTCCCAGCTTTCGTGCTTTTGGTAGCTGTGGTTTTTTTGCCTGGCTGCGTTTTCTCACTGTCTTGATTATCTCCATACTACTCGTGGCAGCAAAACTGCTCTAGAGCTGTTCTGGTTCCCAGTTCTCATGTGTCGTAGAAGATCAGGAACCAAAAGGAAGGACAATGGGAAGTGCTTTGCCCAGTTGAAGATGGTTTTCCTTGTGCCCCGAGCAGCTCTTGCTGTGGAGAGCGTGGCAGAACACCTGGGAATGTGGGATGTGTGGAGGAAAACTGCTTGAAGCAGTTAAAACTTTACATGTCACCTTCCTGTAAAGAACCAGGATAACACAAACCATCTCTGAAAGTGCACATCAGCTCCTGATGGAGGAGCCTTTGGGGCGTAGGCTCCTGCGGGGATGAAAGCCCTGTGGAATATTTGGGGAGGAGGAAGGCTGTCCTCTAAAGAACCTTGGAGCAATCTTGCTTTCCCTCCTCCAGCACCAGGGAAGCCTTCCTCCCTCTCCTACAGGTGGCTAGAGAAGTTTCATCCCCCCAATTACTATTTCCTTCCTTTCCTTGGTTCCTTTATGGAGACTTTAGAGCAAATCCGTGATGAGAGTTGGAAATCTTAGTTGTCTGGGGGTTTTGCAGAAGCCGTTTCCTACAGGGATGAGAAATGTGTTGAGGGCAACTGATGGAAGGTTAAAAGCCGGGGGGACACCCAGCCCTGCTGTCCTGCTTTCCAGGTGTGTGGAGACTCAACCCCTGCAGGAGTAACTGGGAGGGATTCTTGCAGCCGTGGCCTCACTGCCCTCACCTGTGGGTGCGTGTCACTGGATCAATGCTAACACTGCCTGTACTCTTGTAATGTGTTGCAATTTGATCACCATTAAATAATTCCCTTAAATTTACTGTGGCTTGATTGCCTTCTTGCTTTTTTTGCTTTACCTGTGCCTTTTACCCCCTTTTTTTTTTTTTGGCTTATTTTGTTTTCTTCCCTCTTGTGGCTACTCTCCCCCCCTCCCTGGTGATCCGGTTCTGCACTGTCCTCTGCTCGGCCCCCTGCAGTTGCCTTCATCTTTGTTTTTATTTATTTATTCTAATTTCCTGCAAGTCCTTGCTTGCTCTCTGAACAGGGGCAGTACTTTGCGGGCAGTGCCGAGTAGCCTTGGTGCTCCCGCCGCTTGCTGTGGACATGCCAACACTCTGGTCAAACCCAGTGCTGTTGTCCTTCTCCTCCTGGGTGGGAGGTGCCGTTTGGCAGTGGGCTTGTTGGTGCTCCGATTTCGTAGCCACCTGCTGCCAGCACCCCTGGCCTCCACACATCCGCCCTGCTGGGGTCACAGCACAAGGCACCTGTGGCATTGGAGGACACCGGAGCCATCTTGACTGTTCAGGGGTTGCCACAACTCCTGGCTTGCCCAGGTGGCTTTGTTCTTCATCTGGTTTGGCATCCACAGGTGTTATTTTATTGTTTTTTCTGCCTCTCAGCATCCCCCCCCTCTTTCCTTTCACTGTGTGACAATATTTAGTTTTTATTGTCACTTAGTTCTTCTTGTTGTGTAGTTTGGTCAAAGCATCTTGGGGTGAGTGATGATTGGATGTATTTACAATTCTTGCCCTTTCATGAACAAATCTATTTGTAGTGAACACGCTCTTTTACAGATAAATCTCTTGCCGAGTTGCTTGGCGAGAGGTTTATTGCTGAATTTTATCTCAGTGAGTTGCTCAGCTGTACATACTACTTCCTCATCCCCAACTGTGGGGGAAAAGTCATTTTAACACCCCTTAACACCTCGTGCTGGTCTGGAGCTTCTTGTCGGCAGCAGCTGGGTCCACTGAGCAGATTCGGGGTGGAAGTGTGCAGGGTGGGGTCAGAGGACCAAGTCACGGGGTGTAGATGCAACTTGGAATTTTGCAGGAGCTGCAAACTCACATTCACTTGGCTGCTGCCAACACTGGTGATAGTTTTCAGGCTCTGCCTTCCTGCGTAAGAGAAATAACATTTTTTGGCACTGGAGGTCCAGCTAGACACTATTCTTTCTCCAACAGTGACCAAAATAAAAGGCCTGTGTGAGAAGAGAGGAAGAGGATGTACAGCTGTGGGGCTTGATCTGCACTTGCTGCTGGTGGGAGAGCTTCCTGAGGGCAAGGGTGGCTTCTGTAGCCACACTGTTTTTATCTTGGGTAGACTTAATGTGAATGTGTCCTCTCTGGCCTCACCTTTGTGTAATCTCTTGTTTATCCCTATTTGATCTTGTCCGTCTGAAGGGGTTTAGCGGTACTGGTGGCGATTGTGGGGTTTGGGGGAGGCAGGGAGTCTCATAGGTGGTCAGCTAGGACCAGTCAGAGGGAACTGGGATGACTTGGGATGGTGGCACCTGTTAGAGCTGGTATTAAAAGAGAGTTGCTGT